TCCTGTAGAGCCCCACTGAGCCCCATAGAGTTCTATAGAGCCCATAGAGCCATATAGAGCCATATAGAGCCCCATAGAGACCTCTAGAGCCCTAGAACACCCCATAGAGCTCTATAGAGCTACATAGAGCCCCATAGCGCCCCATAGAGCCCCATAGCGCCCCATAGAGCCTCATAGAGACTCTAGAGTCCTATAGAGGCCCCTACTGTTCTGTGATGCTGTGATTGAGCCCCACAGAGCCCCATAGAGTCCTATAGGGACCTATAGAGCCCCATAGAGTCCTATAGAGCCCCACAGAGCCCCATAGAGACCTATAGAACCCCGCAGAGCCCCATAGAGTCCTGTAGAGCCCCACTGAGCCCCATAGAGTTCTATAGAGCCCATAGAGCCATATAGAGCCCCATAGAGTCCTATAGAGCCGTATAGAGCCCCATGGAGTCCTATAGAGCCCCAGAGCACCCCATACAGCTCTATAGAGCTCCATAGAGCCCCATAGCGCCCCATAGAGCCTCATAGAGACTCTGGAGTCCTATAGAGACCCCTACCATTCTGTGATGCTGTGATTGAGCCCCACAGAGCCCCATAGAGCCCCATAGAGCTCTGTAGTGCCCCATAGAGCCCCATAGAGCCCCATAGAGCCTCATAGAGACTCTGGAGTCCTATAGAGACCCCTGCCGTTCTGTGGTGCTGTGATTGAGACCCACAGAGCCCCATAGAGACCTATAGGGGCCCACAGAGTCCTATAGGGATCTATAGTGCCCCACAGAGCCCCATAGAGACCTGTAGGGACCTACAGAATCCCATAGAGACCTATGGAGCCCATAGAGTTGTATCGAGCCCCATAGAGCCCCATAGCGCCCCATAGAGCCTCATAGAGACTCTGGAGTCCTATAGAGACCCCTGCCGTTCTGTGATGCTGGGATGACTTTGATGGGGGGGGGGGTCCCGGTGTGGGTCCTCAGCCCCCCCTGTGCCGGCTGTGACCCCGCAGGCGGTGGAGTGCCGCGCCGTGCCGCTGCCGGGGGGCGAGGAGGTGGAGTACATGCTGGCCCTGAAGCAGGAGCTGCGCGGGGCCATGAAGGGGCTCCCCTATTTCGTCCGACCCGGCGCCCCACACAGAGGTATGGGGCGGACCCACAGCCCCTCCTGTGTCCATCCTCCATCCCCC